AAGCTTAAAGACTATTTTTTTAAAAAAAACAATTATTTTATACACAATTCAATAAAAATGAGATTGTTTCCAGTCTCCAAATTATTAAAATAATAACTTACTGTACAAGGTTAAAAAGTGGTAAAAAACCCTGATGAGACTGGAAAAACAATCTCATACACTCTACCTGTTTTGACGTATACTCTTGTGTCATCTCATTGGGTTTTTTTACCACTTTTTAACCTTGTACAGTAAGTTATTATTTTAATAATTTGGAGATTGGAAACAATCTCATTTTTATAGAATTGTGCATAAAATAATTGTTGCTTTTTTAAAACAAAATTCAGTTTTTAAGATTGAACATTACACACATGCCAAAAATATTTGAAAAGACATTTAATATTGCATGTTTTTTCAATCTCAAATAGGTTTTCTAATAATTGGTGGTAATTTGTGTTTACTGATTTCACGTTTTTTTTATTAATCTAGATAATGTGCCTTCACTGCTTTTATCTTTGTTCTAGAAAATACCATTAGATTCTTTTCTAATTCTTCCAAATAATGAAATATTCCTTTTTCTGTCTAACTGTCTTGAAACTAATATTTTTTTATGCTGGAGAGAAATTAACCATTAATAATATCTTGGTTAATCTCTTCTATGACTTTGTAACTGTTTACATTCTTTCAAGAAAAAAAAAGTATCCTTTTTAAAAATATATGCATTATCACATTAGTTGTGCATAAAGAAACTACAACATAGAGTTAAATGATATTCCAACTACAAAATGAAATAGATTTCATTAATAAAATGCACCACCAAAACTTTTATTCTTCAATCTTTTATTCAGTACCTACCTGCTGAAAACCTTTTCTCTGGTATACAAAGATACAAGTGATCAAAAGTTTTTTCTTCATCCTTTGCTTGCAACCTCTCACTAGGAATTGCAACTTCTGTAAACAAAATACAGCTACACAATAACTTCTAGATTAGGTTAAGCCTGTTTTGCCATTTTAAAAACTCATTACTTATCCATCCTGAGAAAGAATTAAAAACATATATTTTTTTCAATTTCAATTAGACTTTCTAATATGGTAACCTAGAGGGACACTCAGTATGCATTGAGAAATTAATATAGTCATAAAAAGTAAATAAATTTACAAATGAAACCATATTTGAAGTATAGACAACATTTTAATCACAGTAACTTTATTGTGAGGATCTGTTACATATGGTATTACTTACCTTCTTGGGAAGGAAAAGCAGCAGCAGTACAATCTGACTATATCGCTCTTTTAAATAAAAATACATTTAAGGGTTTTGAAGAAGAAAACAACAACAAAAATTAAATCTATGAGATAATAAGGTAACAGAGTATTGAAAAGAATTCAAAACTATATCACCTTAACTCTTTCCATACAAGTATCCTTTTCTGCACATGTCACAGGGTTTTACTGAATTACATTCGAAATTTAATTCAAGTACTTTATTATCATGGTATTCGAATAAACTTGGCAACGAAACATAGCTAATAATCGAAATCTTAATTTTATATAAGTTTTGATTTCTTAATTTTATAAGGCAATATAAAAAAAAGAAAGTCTTCAATTTTTCCTAGTATGCAAATTGTGGCATTTGCTCTCTAGGTATCCCCCTTCTCTAATTTATTTACCACCCCTCTGAAAAGTACAAAATTTAACATAAATTACTCATTATAATATTATTATTGCTCAGGCAAAGCAAAATGTTTATAGCCTTCAATCTTATTTGATTACAGAACCATAAAATGAAAAATCAGACTCATCTTGCAATGCCCACCTACCACATCCTCTCTTTTACAAATTGCCAGTAGTTCTCAGTGATGTTTAATACTATATTATTTATAACCAATAGAAAGCCAAAGTTTTAATCTATCAAATTACATTTTATAATACATTGTTTTCTGTACAGAGAATTGTCTAGTTCGCTTCCAGTTCAAATCTTATTCTCACAGGAGACATATCAAAGAGCTTATTTGAATATTTTACAGCTCTTGTTGAATAATAAAAACAAACAGAAAAATCGTTATAGTTTTAAGACATTATCTGTATTTTGTATGTTATTATTCTGTGTTCTTTGGTGCATTATTTAATTTAATAAAAATATACTGATTGTTGTAGTACTATTAGCACAAAAAAAGTAGGGTTAAGTAGCATTGACAGTCGACAGCAGAAAAAAAAAGAACCAGGTAAGTACTATATTTTTTGTATTTCATTTATATTCTTTATTTATTATTATAAAAATAATTAAAATGTACAAATTAGAAAGTTTTTAGGTTAGATTAGGTAAAACAAAGAATAATGATAATAAACTTTCACGTGGTACACTTACAAGTAACTCACAATTAACCAATACTTTACATATTTGAAAGGGTAATGTGAGCTACATATTCGCCAAGTGATTTACAACTTGTGTGGCAGAAATATTGGTTATACACAGTTCAAAGGGCAATAAAACAAGAACATTTAAGTAGAAACAAATGTAGTTTTATTTTATAACTTGAAGTCATTCTAGAAAGAAAAAAATGAGTAATTTAGATATATTTTGTTTATTTGTTTCTTGGTTACAAGGTCAATCAAATCAACCAACCTTGTACAGAGGTAGGGTAGAGAAAATAACATTTTGCTGTAAAAAAATTCAAAATATATTTAGGAGATTTTAGAAATTACTCAAATGAAATTTGAGGTTTTTCTGATGAAAAGCAGCCAAGACCATACGGAAAACTCAGCTGTTCACCAGAGAAAAGTAAACTGAACAACCATTATCTTCCAAAATGTTCTTATGATTATTTTGCACCAAAAAAATGTGAGAGAGAAACTTCTGTGATGCATGACAGTGAAAAAGAATAAGTTGATGCAATAACAATTAAGAATAATACAAGTTAATTTAGCTGATAAAGGTACCTTCTTAGGCCATTAGTGTATAGATGACTTGATGTGACATGTTTGTGATGCCTAAGAAATACCATCTTGGTGTTTATTCATTAATTAATTACAATTCAATAAAGTATTGAAACTGAAATTAGTTTTGGTGTCTGGAGAATGAAAGGGAAAGAAGTTGAATTGATTTGTATATTTTTACCATTTTCCAAATAAGTGTCCAAAATTAATGATTAATGTACCTCACAAGTTCCTCAAATTCCTGGCCATGATACAGAAAGGAGAAAAGAGCAACTCTTCATTAACTGTAGAAGGTGTATTTTGTTGAACTCATCACGAAATGTATCACGTATTTGAAACTAGTGTGAAAGTCCAGAAACAGTGAGTTAGAGTTCATTTGCAGTTGTTAATTAGTATAGTATTCTCAAACAATTTGAGAATTCTGTAACACTTTTAAACCTTAAACTTAACATTTTAAACATCTTTGCAGCTTATTTGCAATTTTCACTTAGTTGGATTCTCTACATTTTTAGTTAACTTGTTTGCCTAATTAGCACGTGCAATTCTCCTTACATGCACAAATTTTCACCTGTCACCTCTTTTCACCAAGTTCTTTTCCCAATGTTTCCTCCTCCTCTCATTTTTCAGCCCCTCTTAATTTTCAACATTTTCTTCTGTTACTTCTTATCTGGTTGGTCTTAGCTTCTTTTGCTGTTTTTGAAATTCAACCCTTTGTTCCAATTATATTTACTATTCTTTCTTTTGGTATACTATTAGTATACAGCATTCCAATTTAATATTAATAGTTATTATTTAACATCCAGAGTTACTAATAGGTCAGAGCTTACTAAGTGATTCATACTAAAGCCTAAGCTATGTTTCAGGGTACAACTTCACATAAAACTCAAACATCAGGATTTTGTTTGAATTGCTAATAGGTGGGAAATTTTGTACACATCTGGTGATAGAGAACTTTAAATGCTCTTTCTGGGACTGACTCAATATGATTGATAATATAATACTGTAGTTAGTTGCTGTTTGAAATTAGTTTTGAGTTTTGATTCATTGTTTCCAGTCATTTATGCTCAACACCCAGCTATCCCCTCCTTTCAAATAATTTCTAATCTTAAGGTGCTGTGTCATGTATTTAAAAAAAAAACAGAGACATAGTTATCTGAATGCATCAATCACATTACTAGTCATGATATTTGTGAAAATCCAAGACTATGTGAAACAAGGAACATATAAAGACATAATTCTTAAAGTAGATAAAAAATTCTGATATAATTTCATTAAGTA